CTTGCACTGTCCCGGGAGGCTTCCCAAGGCACCATGCAGGCTTTTTCCAAACTATTTTATCTAAAATAGTATGCTAAGATTCATTGCCCCCTACAATAGTGGTCAAAGATTGATGCCCACAGTAGACTATGGCAGGAGTATTCCCATTATAGTGCTCTGCTGTTCCCATTGCAGTGCTGTTCTCAAGCACAACTTGAATGTGTTTCATGGAACCTGTTTGTGTTTCTCTCAATTGATAAGGCATATATATGCAGCTATGCATGACAGAACTTTCCTAACAGCAAAAGCCTAAAAGCAAGCTAAATGTTGACAGAGAACTACTTAAAATTTTTTTAATACATTCCCTTAATGAAGTAGGGTAATTGTCTTTTTGGAGAATTATACTAGTTATACTAGAAAAAAATTATATACGTTATTTAACATATTATGAAAAGTTGATGCTCATTCCAAATGTGATACTGTATTATTCTGCATTATTTTGTTACCTCTCTTAATTGAACAAAACAACAGTAAGACTAGTTGACAGTGACAGCAGTAATTTTTAGGAGGGATATCTAATTGTGTGAGAAAAAGTGTCAATACATTTATAACATCAATTCATTATATACATCTAGCAAAACAATGTAATTTTTCATAACATTATTGTATTACTGTCATTGGGTAGCTTCTTCTAAATGAGGGTTGCCAATCAAATGTTACCGGATTTAGGGTTGCTCACCTCTCCCAAAGTTGAATTCCAAGTTCTTCTTGTCTCAAAGAATTGAACAAAACAATCAAAAAACTGGTAAAGTTTATTTTAAAAAGTGAAAGTGAAGAATGAGAGATAAATTGACTCTGCAGAGTGAGTTTGGGTTGAGCAAGAGAAAATGCAAGGTGAAAGTACACCCTGTAAGATACAGGGCAGGAAATTGTGAAGAAAGCCATGATAACAATCTCTTCTTAGAGTCTGTGTCCCTTTATACTTTCCAAATCTTGAGGAAATCTGTGAGAACTTCTATATATGGGTCCTGAGAAGCAGTACTGGGATCCCACACCTCAGGCTGATGTCAGGTCTAGGCCATCCTATTGGAAACCTGCTGAAATTCTCCCAAGGAGACCACATATAGGGTTTTGGGAATTGTTCTGTCCAGATGTTCCAGGATCTTATAATTGACAGATCATCCCTACTTTCCCAGCCAGCTTTGCCACACCCTAATTTTTTTTATCTCATTACTATGTAGTCTCTCTCTTTCTCTCTTTTTTTGTAGTGGGATTGAACCCAGGCCCTTCACAGTGAAATATACCTCGAGCTCAGTTTTATTTTTTTACTTTTAGATAAGGTCTTGCTAAATCACTTAATTTTTCAAGTTGTGCTCAACCTTGAGCTTCTCTTGGTTCAGCCTCCCACAGTGCTGGGATAATGAGCAGATACCACCACACCTGGCTCCATTATGCATTTTTTTTTTTTTTTTGAGACAGTCTCACTATGCAGTTCAGGCTGTACTTGAGCTCAATTTGTAGCCCTGGCTGTCCTCAAACTCACAGCAATCCTTCTGCCTCAACCTCCCGAGTGCTAGGATTATAGGCATGCACCACCACACCTGGCTCTACTAATACTAATGTATTCTTAAAACACATTAAATGTAGGACTTTTGAAAAAGGAGACTAGAATTAGAGTAGGACTTACTAAACTGATATTAATGGTATTTAATAATTTAAAAATAATGCCTTGTTTCTGTCCCATGATACAGCAAGATACTTTTTGATATGATCAGGTTGAGACCCATACAGAACCAGACCAGACCTTCTGACGTGAGAGAAGTCTTTATTGGGGGGAGCGACACGGTGGGCTGCCCAGTAGAGTAGGACAACCCTGAGCTGAGCAAAGCATGGGGTTTTTAAAGCTAACTTTTGGGGAGAATGTCTTTAGGTCAGAACCTTTTTTGGGAGGGGGTGTTCACGGGCCAGAACAGCCTGAGCAGGGTGGGTTGTTTGTGGGCCAGAACAGTCTGAGCAGGGCCTTGTCGTTCGTCAGAGTTGAACGTCTGGTTCTGCCAAGGAGGATGAGGGTGAGGTTGGCTTTGGTCGAGGGGAACTGGAGGGGAACAGGTGAAGAGGAAGGAGTTTTTGTTAACTCCTTAACAAAAGAGCTTAAATCCCCCGCAGCAAGGTGGTTGCCTTGCGACTTATCGCTTTTATTTTTTGTCTCCTTTTCTGAGCTGCCTTTAGGCTTTAGAATATCCTTCATTTCTTTTATGTAGGGGTAAAATGAGTTAAATCTCATGTAAAATTCACTTTGACTTGTAGCTTATCTCTCATCAAACTCCTGTCATACTGTTTCCTAGTGTCAATACAGTATGACGACATCCAGCTAAATTTTCTCTCAACAGTGTTTAACCATGGAAAGCTTAGGATTTTATTTACTAGCAAAAAGATTTAGACTTGTAGGCATTAATCTCCATCTCTCAAAAAAAATGTCCACTGGGCTGGGGATGAAGCTCAGTAGAAAAGTGCCTGCCTGACCCTGGGTTCGACCCCCAGCACAAGCAAACAAACTAAAAAACAACACAAAAATCCCAAGCCCATTCATTCTGCATCTTCTTTAGGCAGACCATCCATGTGACTCTGTTTGCCAGTCAGTTCCTTTGCTTTCATTCATCAATGTCTGTACCCGAAGTGCTCATTACTTTTTCAACACTAGGAAACATACTGGATATCATCACAGGTTAAACCTGTTTCTCAGGAAAAAATGGTTTCAAAGCAGATAGGTGAAAATGAATTTGGATTTCAAACTCATTATGATTTTAGTACAGAAATTAAATTGATTCATTTACCTGCCCAGTTCTGGTGACACAGATTTGAAATATATAGATATATACATTTGCATATATATACACACATTTGAAACAATCTTTTCTCCCTAAAATGAGTCTCTTTTGTCAACAAAATTCTCCCTAAAATGAGTCAAAAAATACCGTTAAACACAAGAAATGTGCTCAGTATCTTATCGTTCAAAACAGTTAAGTAAATATTCTAGATGAGATTCTATCATTCTTGATATCTCTACACATTAATGCATTTTTTAAAACAAAAAACTAGCAATGTCATAACCTGCTGTTTTGCTTAATGGGCATTTTGTTTTGTTGTTTGTCTTTTGAGACAGGGTCTTGCTATGTAGTTAGGTTGGCCTTGAACTCACTATGTAACTCAGGCTGGCCTGGAACTCTTAGGTATCTTACCTCAGCTTGCCTAGTGCTAGGATTACATGTGTGTGCCATTATGCCCGGTTTTGGGGCATTTTCTTATTTAAAAAAAATCAACTATTGAGGCTTGACTTAGAGACAACAAAATGCATATTTATATTTTCAGTAAATTTTTATAAATGTATTCACTCATATAACCATCTCTATTTCCATCACCTCAAGTCACCAAGTTCTATCGCAGTTAACCCTTTGTTGACCCCTTAACCAGCCATGTATTTTCTGTCATGATAGGTAAGATTTGCCTTTTTTTTTGTTTCATATAAATAGAATCATAGCATTTTGTTTAATTTTTTTGCTCAATGGATTTTCCAGATTCATTCCTGTTGCATGTTAAGCAGTTGATTCCTGCTTATTGATAATTAGTATTCATTACATTGCATGGCCATGTCTCAAGTTTATTAAATCACCAGTTAACGGATATTAGGACCTTTTCCAGTTTTTGATCACTAAAATTAAAGCTGCTATAAACATTTATGTACAAGCATTTGTGTAAATCCCGAGAAGTGGAATTCCTGGATCACAGGATAAACATGATTACCGAAGCTCCAAAGTGATAATAGTGTTCTGCACTTCATGAGCTGCAGATTCGAGTCCAGTTGCTCCGTGTCCTTGTCAACGTTTGGCATTGTGTTTTAACTTCAGGACACCTGAATGAGTATGTGGTCAAGATGTGCTTCTTACCTAAGCCAGTTTAGTTTTGTAACCTCACTTAGAAACTGATCATTTTATTAATAAATTTAAGAAAGACCTAAACCATCTAAGAGTCCAAAAGAACTTGCCTGGCTTGGCTCCGTAGTTATTTTGTTTCTATTTTTCCCTCAGAGGTCCCCAAGCGGTGCCAAAAAAATTTAAACTCGGTGTCAGGCAGCGGGACGTCTCTTCACGTCTGCAACCGGGAAGCTCTGGGAAAGCGTCCCTGTCGTCTCTTATGCCGCGTCTCATCTTTCCAACAACGTACGAACGCGAACCAGAGTATCCAGGGACGTCGAAGCCCTAGGCCCCGCCTCTTCCTGGATCCGGCCACGCCCCTGGACTTGGCCGCGAGGCTTCCGGTCTCGCGATTGGTTCTAATCCCGCGAGAAGAAAGGACGGCCGAAAGGTGGTAGCGGCTAGGGAAGGGGGTGTGGCCCGGGAGCGAGAAGTCCCGGGGAGTAGGGGAAAGGAGGCGGGGTCGCGCGCACCGGGCGTACGCATGCGCGCACGCTGCCGGCGGGCTGGGCTGAGAGGGGAGGGGGCAGCGGCGTCGTTATTTCCGTGGTCCGTACGGTGCGTGCCGACGCGGGTGGCCGCGGGAGCAGTAGATAGGGACCCCCTATGCGAACCCCTGAGACACCCCCCCCTTGGCTCTAGTGCCCGAGAGTCGCAGCGCCCGCGTTGTGCGGGCCCTGGGGACACCAGGTCACCCTGCGGCCCCGGCCCTCAGCCGCGCTTCAGGTAGGAGGCGGAGGCGCGCCCGCCCGCGGGCCGCTGAGGCCGGGCCTTGCCTGTGGCCCCGGCGATGCCCTCCTGGGAAGCCCGTTCTCCTGCGCGGCAGCGCACTGCCCTGTGCGCGCCA